TAAAATCAAAGGTAGAAGAAGCGTAGGAAGACGTAACATCTCGTGGCTACGCAATCTCCGTGGATGGTTTGGATGCAGTTCAATTGATCTATTCAGGCGCGTAACCAATAAAATTATAATTGCCAGAATGATTTCCAATCTCCGATAGGAGTGGAACTTGAAAAAGAAGAAGTGATTATATTGGCACTGTAATTATACCTGCGCGACTCAATATTATTAAGGTAAGTGAAAAACATTTTATTTTCTTATATTAAATAGGTAAAGAAATAATAAGACTTACTCACAATCAATTTAATTTAACTATCAGACGACCGGCTTCGCTTTCTCCAATATGCAAAGCATCTTCAGGTCTCGATACAAAGTTAAATAAATGCTGAAATGATAAAAACCCATATTAGGGTGTTGTCTAATAAAGATAAACAAATTAGATGTTGTAAATTACAATAATTATGCCAATATACGTTATACGTTTGATTATAAAATGTACATGTTTAGTTGCCAAAGAATCACTTTAATTTGTTCAGTAATTTGGACTAAACTGAGTTAGTTATAATATGGGATGTATTTCAATTATTCGTATTGTTACATTTAAATTTAATTAATTAAAAAAATCCACAAGGAAAAATTCCTGTAGCTGGCTGTATACCACGTATAACAAAAAGAGGTTAATCTTTGTAAATGGGTATATTTATTTAAAAAACCCTTAAAAGGGCCACATCAATTAAACAAACGTTTTCGGACCACAAGTCCATCATCAGGTTTTTAAAATCGAAAAATGCTAGGTCACAATGCCTGAGCCACCAAAATACTAGGGTAAAAACCCTTTAAATTACATTTAGTTATGAAATATTGTACATCGTGTTGTAAAATAACTGTGATGTTCAGTATTAAATTAAATTTGACTAGGGGTAACACATGGCTCAATCGGGTTCCAGAGCCGGTGAGAGAGAACCTCTACACTCGGAGAACCCAGAACCCTTGAGTTCCCAGCTGTTATCCGAGTGTAGAGGTATACCTCTACACTCGGATATACACTTCCTCTAAGAATTATCCTAAGAAGTAGCTTGAGAGAGTGACTCATAAGACTGATTAGTCTAAAGTCTGCAAGATGATGTATTAAGTTTTTTTGCAAGTGGAATAAATGTAGACTCCAACCATATTTGAGGCGTTCAGAACCATAGTGGATCATGTCCGTAATACACAAGTCCGAGATATTTAGAGTTAAAAGTTAACAAGCTCTCTACTATTACATAATACACCAACTAACCTAATCTAAGTGAAAACCTCTAATGTAATATGTTGTTTAAATAATTAAATTATGTGTAATATTAAATAAATAACCTTTTTGGAAATAATTGGAGACACTTGAAAAAAATTGGACTTGATCCATTATTACTTTGAAATATTTGGTGGATAAAAATGGATTAAAAAACGAAGTATGACAAAACTGGAATTTTAGTTACAAAACAGAATACCAACTAAAAAAACTTATTACAACAATATTCAATAATACTCTCACAGCTTAAATGGCATTAGTTTTAATCATCACAGACTAGATTCTTCTAGTCTATGGTGATTACATTTCTGCCACGAGTCTAGATGTGGAGTACCTACAGATGACTTTGATTACCAATGAATTTTAAGATTTATTTTGTCCATAGAGACAGTAAAAAACGGAAAATCTTCATTCAGCGTAGGTTTGTAGTTCAAAACCCAAGGATCTTCTCTCTGGTACCTCATTCATCTCATTTTTAACCAATTTTTTTTCTTTTTTAACTTTTTTAACCAGATTTTCTAGCAGCCTTTTCAATAACCCCAAAATCTCGGTCGTTTGGTAAAACGAAAGAAAACTTGTGATCTATCATTATTATGTTTATGTAAGGATCTTAAACAAGATTTAGTAACATGGTAGCCACTTTAAAACTTCTGTTTTGTCCTGTACATGAATCTCAATAGATAGTTTCGTGGTTATGATGTTTGGCATGTTTTTTTCAGATGCATGGTTAATATTGAAGATATTTCCTGAGATCCTCTACCATCATCTGTTTCGTCCTACACATACATAAAGCCATAGTTTTTGCTGAAGGAATGAATTCCTATGTTATAGACACACATATTTCTTTTGTAATATGTAAAGGATGTAGACAATTTCGGGTTATGGCAGTGCTTTTTGGAGGTCAAAAGTAGCAACATAGTGTTTATCTGATGCGTCATCAATGTCCGATTTTAGTACATCTCGAGCTTGTTTTGCTTTTGCTAGGTGAACATTTTTCTCAACAATAAGTGAATTGGATGTCTTTTCCTGGATTTGGATTTGGATTGGATTTCCTGGATGGAGAAGATTCGTAACTCCACAATACTTGAACGTCTCAGCGAGACTACTGAGATCATAAAAAGTATCAAGCAGAGAAAGCTGGAATATTTCGGACATGTAATGAGAGGTCCCAAATATATATTGCTACAAAATATCATGCAAGGAAAAATAGCAGGCAAACGCAGTCCAGGACGAAGAAGAACCTCATGGTTGAAGAACTTGCGAGATTGGTATGGTGTAGATACAAGCATGCTATTTAGGGTGGCAGTGAATAAAATTAAAATAGCTATGATGGTAACCAACGTTCTGAAAGGACATGTTACATGAAGAAGAAGAAGATGTGTTAGGTTTAGTTGCTGCAGCTATTTTAAGGGCAGTTGATCACTTTTGGCGCACGTATATTTCGATGGTATTTTAAAATATTAATTAAACTTGGTTGTAAACAAATGATAATTTGTTTTTTTTTCTGAGGTACTTTGCCTTCGTTGTTGCATTTTGATACATACAGGTCATACATTTTTCTGATATTTAAATCAGGATTTAGAAACTTTTTTAACGGTTCTTTGTTCTGCTATACTAAGTGTCGTCATTTGAATCCATTTTTAACCATAAATGACTATAATGACCATAAATATGACTATAATAGCCAAGTAGTGATCCACTCTGTCCCGAAATAATATGACACATTATTGAGAGATATAGGAAGCTAACGCCATCTGTTTATTATTGCGGTAACTTTGGACGTGATTTGTTATAGCACCGATAAAATTTCTATTTGTAGAACATAAATACACCGCTAACTTAATTTTCGTAAAAAGTGGACTTAATCCACTATGGTTCTGAACGCCTCATTTGTTTCAGTGTTCCAGTTTCGTATATGTGGTTATAAATGTGTGTTAATTCTAAGACATTGTCGTCGTCTAGAAGTTAGAGCCAGTCTGATGGTATTTGGTCAGAGCCTGGAGATTTCCCATTTTTGCTTTATTTGATGGCTTTCTCTACTTCTGCTTTTAAAATACTAGGACCAGTATTCGTATACTTTTTAGCGATAAGTGGTGTCCTCGTATCCAGGAAGAGCTCTTTTATGTAGTTGGTCCATTCTTCCTTTTTTTCATTTAAGTCAAGAATAATTTTACCTTTGGAGCTTCTCATAAAGTGAGGAGTTATTTTTCTCTGAGTGTAAGTAGTAAGTTTTTTGTATATATTAAACTCGTCATGTTTTCTTTGTAGTTCTTCCATCTCACGACATCTTTGTTCCATCCAGACCTCTTTTGCTCTCTTAACCTTTTATCTTATTTGTCGATATATTTCTCTATATCGAATCTCATCTTTATTTTTACAATTTCTTCTTTGCTGAATAAGATCAGTATGTTATCGGTCATCCAATCCTTTTTCTTTACTGGCTCTTTTTCTGATTGTAAATCTTCGTCTGCTATGGTAACCATGGCGGAATTCTTTATATCTATATTTTGTCCGATATTTTCTTATAGTTTATTCGTCTTCCGGGTTTGGACCGTGTCATTTGTGAGTGACCCAAAAGTGGGTTCATCTCGACGTTTCGCTACAATTGTATGTAGCTTCTTCAGGAGAACAACGAAAAAAGAAAAAGAAATCAAAGGACAGGAAGATGGGTAGTTAGCAACGGTAACTCAGTTACTCAACGCAACCAGAGGCGAATACTTACTACCAAGATGGGCATTTGGTCACAGTAACTCAACTACTTAACGCAGCCAGAGGTGAAAACCAAATGCCAGGACAGGGATTCACGTCCAACAGTTCAGAACACTAACGCGTCGAGAGGCGGGGAGTGAATCCGACGATTACTCCGCTACCGCTCTATTTATAGTCGCGGTGACCTGTCGTGTCGGGACGTATCGGCACACTTCGTGGCGCGAACGTCAAGAAGCGCGCGCTGGCCAATCATGTGGCTGCATCGTGGTAGCGGGACCGGACGGCGGCTTTAGACTGAGATTCCAGATGGGAGACAAGTAGTATCCTTCCTCTCGATTGATATTATGTGGATTTTTTCGGATCTCTAGAGATTTGCGGATTTTCCTGGAATAAAAGAAGGGGCTCTTAGAAATGATATGGGTTTTTTCGAACAATATGGAAGGCAGTGTTCTGCAACTGCAGAATGGGAGAAAAGACCTGATCGAATGCATCTTTGATGCTCTTGAATCCGAGTTTTGACGGAACGACCATACTTTTGGGTCACTCACAAATGACACGGTCCAAACCCGGAAGACGAATAAACTATAATTCTGACTCTGGCCGTGGAAGATTACGATTTTATTCGATATTTTCTTGTTCAGATCTTTCTAGCTATTTTTTAATTACATGGTTTATATTGGTACCAGTCATTATTTGGAAAATTCTGATTTCGGTGAAATTTTAGAAAGAGAAAAGAATATTTTATTATTATTTATAAAATATGTTTGTGTCAATTAACGGTTGTACATAGCTTATGCTTGAGTTCAGTTTGTTTGCCCTTTATCATTCAACTAGCTGCCACTGAAAATTTAATACATACTATAAAACCTCGTATAATGCTAATGATCTTATTTTCTATTCAAAATATTTAGTTATGCAATTAAAAACAAATCCTATAGATATCATAATTGTTTGAATATATGTATGTGTGTGATAAAATTTTGAATAAAAATCGTTTTAATCACTTATATTGTTCAGTTTTGTGCATACTATTGGTGTTATTGGAAGACAAAAGTCAATACAGATAAAACAAATATAAAATTTTACGAGTAACAGGTAGGATAAAAAGTAATTTTGATTTTTAGCATAAATATAATTGTAACAAAAGCTTCTGTCGCATCTTACGTTTAGATTTCTGAGTCTTTCGGTCTCTCCAATCCATTTGATAAGTAGCTTAGTCTCTCATTATTTTTCATAGGCACTTCCTTCTATTTTATAGAAGCATTTTTCCTATTTCTTTTTTGTATATGGTATATTTAAGCTTGACTTTGGCATTAATTCTCCACTTTTATTATTTATCGCACCAGCTATTTAGAGTTCATTGTATGAACTAGATTTAAATTATTTTGGATATTGAACCGAAAATCCGACTTAACTTCGAAGGACAGCCTCTATATACTGGCGTTTTAATACTTTTTTTTCTATAGTTAAATGTTTAAACAAGCGTCACGGAACTAGGGTCACGAGTAGCGTCACAAAATAGCAGTTCTTCACATCGATTAACTAGTCTCGATCAATTCGTTCGAAGACGTCATATATTTATTCTAAGTAGGTTTAAATTAAAAACTGCATCATTGACTCCACAACTCATAATGAATCTTGGCCTGCTCAAGGATAAGTCTCCATTCTCTCCTATTCTTCGCCCTGTTTTACCAGTTTTGTACTCCCAACATTCTCAAGTCTTCCTCCACCTGATCCTTAAATCGTGCTCTGCGTCTGCGTCTCCTTTTCACTCCATCTATTCTTTGGTTATAAATATGTTTTGGCGGCTCCATCTCATTCATTCTCTCTATGTGACCTAACCACCGCAGCCGGTTTATTTTGATGGACCTAATAATATGAGATTTGTCATACAGGCGGTAAAGTTCGAAATTATAGCGTCTACGCCATAATCCGCCCTTCTGTACTCTTCCATATATATGCCGGAGGATTTTACGTTCAAAACATCTATGGAGTTCTTCATCGCTCGTTGTCATCGCCCATGTTTCCGACGCGTAGGTGAGGATGGGCTTGATAAGAGTTCTGTATATCACTAGTTCTGTTCTTTTTGTAACTAGGCTTGTTGTTAAAAAATTGTTTAATCGATAATAGGCTCTATTTGCCAGATATATCCGTCTGTTAATTTTTGAACTTACTGCATTATTCTGATTCATTTGTGAGCCACATTTTGTTTGATCTTCCTTCTTGTTGATAGGTACAATTATACCTACATTCCAGTCTTCTGGCAACTTTATTTGCTTTCAGATCAGTTCTACCAGTCTACATATACAGTATGTCAGGTTTTTTTGCCATGATTTTAAAAGTTGTCAAGAAGTGATATCTGCCCTAGGAGCTTTATTTTCTCTCAATTTCCATATAGCTTGGATGACTTCTACCTCTGTTGGGATGTTATCTTTCTCTTTTTTATCGTCAATGTCCTCGAGTTGGATTTCTGATTAGTTGGAACCCTGTCTCACCTTTTATATTTAGCCTTTCCTCGATGTTTTCTGCCCACCTTTCTAGTATTTGGTCCTGATCACCAATGATCTCCCCTGTTCTATTTTTGACGATTGATAATGTATGTTTGAATTCTTTTCTATTCTGCTTAATCCCATTGTAGAACTTTCGCGTTTCTGTTTGTGCCTTATTCACCTCTGATTCTTATTGTGCATAATATTTCGTTGAGAGGTTGGAAGTCTATTATAAGGTGCTTTACTCTTTTATTGCATATGAATCCCGTTCCTTATGTGTGTTCAACCATCTCACTTCCTGAAGTGCAATTATCCAATTATTAACAATATTAAATCATCTGTTTAAATGTTTATGACACTTTCCGTTTTAAAATAATTTCATATAAATATAATTATTATATTTATACATCTTATTTAGTTTATATAATATTTAAATTTACTATCAAATGATATTTATTTATACTTTATTATTCATTTAATATCTCGTTTGAATTTGACAGGTCTGTCAGGAGTAAACAACGTATGTTTTGTTAATACGTAAGCAGGTAATAGTTTGTTATTTCGTGAATTTTGAAATAGAATATTTCCTGGGTTTGTTTGTCTATTGTAAATAAAAATACTTACCTATTGCTCGAACGTTTCGGCTATTTGCCATTTTCAATAAGTACTCTATTTTATAAACATTACATTATACAATTAAATTTCATGTTTACGTTCTTTAGAAGTTTAACATGGATTAAAAAATTGTTACATGATATTGACAGATGACATCTGGCAGGTATCTTAAGACAGGAGTGGTTAAGTATCGTATACTAAATATATGTCATGGTGCATTTATAAACAACTTAATTTATTACAAATATATTGGAAATATCTTATAGACCTTTCCCCCCAAGGTCTTTAGTATAGCAATTGTTTGTTTTATCTTTATGTCTGCTACTGCAGCTTTTTCTATTTTTCATTTACTGATTATCTATTGCCGTTTAAAAATACGTTCTGTATCAGTATCTGTATATGTAGAGTAGGAAGGACGAGTTAAGTTCCACAGCACAGGCTACAATTGACTTATTATGAATTCTCTCAGGGAGCTCTCCTCCTCAGCTCATTGTCCATCCTGCCATTTCTAGGAAGGTGGACAAGTCACCAAGGGACATCTCCCTTATGGGGGTAGGTGTGGGCCAGGACTCGCCAAACGCGTACTCTAGTATTAACGATAACTCTGGGCATTCACATAGAATATGATCTATAGTTTCATCTTCTTGTTCACATTTCCTGCATATCGGTGTGTCTACTAGCCCCAGTATGTGAAGGTGTTTGTTTAGTTGACAATATCCTGTTAAAAACTAATTGTTCAGAGTTGGTTTTTCCTGGTCATTTCCAAGTACTCCGTTGATGCTGATTTTTCAAGGTTACCAAATGTTACCCTGGCAAGTCTACATTTATGTCCTTCTTTTCATCTTTTTACGGTTTGTGTATAGAAATGACAATTTGACACGATTGTTGAAGTTGACCAACCATAAAGATTCACAGGTTCTAAGATACTTAGAGAGTAATTCGTAGCCAATTGGTCAGCAATGCGATTGCCGTTATTTCTATTGTGTCCTTTAACCCACCTCAGGATGATGATATTACCATCCGAAGCTTGAACCCTGATAACACGTAGTCCATTCAATGTAAGTATCGCTTGTCTGCCATCTGTGCAGATTATTATAGTTTTCTTGGCTATATCTTTTTGGGTTATCTGTTTTGCGGCAATAAAAATACTAGCCAGTTTTGTCTGAACTACGCTGGTATTTTTGCCGATACCCCACCATATTCTTAGGTTGAGCGATCTTGAGTATATCCCGCATCCTGAGCCTTCTTCCATTTTGGAGCCATAGGTGTAAATGCAATACACATTTGCCACGCTTGTCTCCCTATACTGTCTTATATTGATTTTGTAGAGTTTGTCAAAGACAAACTTTGGTTCAATTGAGTCGCAGCCTGCCTGTAGCAGTGGTAGCGCATCCATCTCTCCCCGTCAGAAACGAGTTCTTAATTGTCCCATTCCTACATTAAGGTTTGCATTAGCTGAGCGCAGCAGTATCATTTTCACCAGCGCCAACTCTTTGGCATATATGTCTAGAGACCTGCTGTCAATAACCAACTCCATTGCAGAAGTTGGTGTTGTTTTCATGGCACCTGGCAAGGGTGAATATTACACTTAAAATTTAAAATAAGGGAATTTTTTTGACATAAATTTTATTATTTTATATGGCATGTAATCGAATAAACTATCTTAAAATAAAGACGTCCCAGTACGTCCCGACAATATCATTTTATCAGGTTTACACAACTTTTATTGATAAATTCAGCGGTTTCTATCTAAAAAGTGTCAAAATTTCTTTTTGACTTTAAATAAAGTGCTTTTCCTTACATAAAAAATATTCGACAATATAACCAATTTCATACATTTGCACTTCAGCCCCATAACTAATCAATGTGTTGCTGCTTTCAATTTAATTCACTTTAGTTGTGGATCGGTTTAATAGTCCCTGAAGGTTGTAGATTCCAATCAGCTTAATAAAGACAATATTTTTATTCAAGAGCAGTGTGTTAGAAAAAATGCGCTGTTCCGTAAGTATTTCCTATTATTTACTATCCTTAAAAATACTATTTGTTTCATAATTTGAAGTTTTTGTTAAAAAAAATATCAGTTGTGACCTTTTATTTTTAATTTTATTATCAAATTTTTTCGATATTATAACCTATATATTTTGTTTTTGGGGCAACATAATTATAGTCACGATATGTCAGTGTTGACAAAAGTTTGCAAGTATATTATTAAACTTCCCATTCGACCACTATATAAGCAATTATTTTGTCAATTTTAGTAGTATTTATGGCCATATTTTATTAAAAAAAAAACGAAATAAAAAGCATAGTAACAAATCCTATCTTTCTTATTTTGAGTTGCTTTAAAAAATATAGTTTTAATTGTGATTTTTTCTACTAATTGTTTAATAGTATATTCTATACCAAAACATGATGTTAATTATAATTATGGTAAAGTTACATTAATGCTATTTATTGGTTGATCCTTTTATGTGTTTAATTACTATTTAACTGGGAATAAGCCAAAATTAAAGATAAAATTACGTTTATTGACGTTTCAATTTCCACTTCGGAAATCGTTCTCAAAATACAAACAGTAAATTAAACAAATTTTGTTTTTTGTTACATAGTGAAAAATTCTTCTAATAATTTAATTTTATCTGACTCATTTATATTGACAATTCAGACATACATTATGCATTTTAAAGTAGACGACTTTAAAATGATATTGCCAATATCGTTGAGTTGCGCTCCTCGGAAGACTTTACTTAAAAGATAGTTCATTCGATTACATGAAATCAACTTTAACTTGAGAATATCCGTCAGAAAAAAATTGTAGCATGTAATTCGTTTTTAAAAAGACAAACACATGACATGATGACAGTAAAATTCTCCTGTTAGTGATTCCATAGTAAATTATGAGGGAACAACCAGGAAAAAAACCTCATAATAATATCCCGACATTGTAAGTATTTGTTCATGAATTTAGGTTACCTTCAACAAACATCAAAA